TTATACCTTCTTGGAAATTGAAAGTGAGAATATTTAGGGTTAAGACAATTGCCCAAAATATTGTTCAAGTTTAAGTATCATCCTACGTACTCAAATAATAAGTTCTTTTCCTGAACCAAAATATCTAGCTTGTCGTCTATTTTGCAAAACTAATTACAAATTCCTGTGTCCATCATTTTCAGTAGATTTTTTGTACCCCATGTTTGATGTGTTTTTGTCGCATTGACAATCTTGTTAAATTTGCTTGTTATGCGTTTATAGGGCTTTGGTCCTAATTGTGGGTCTTAAATTTTATTAAACCAATTATCAATAACGCTAGTAGGATAATTATTGAATTTGAAAATTCCTATATTCCAAATTAGATTAATTACAAATTATTTCAGATTTGCCATATACGTTCTTCACAATACTGTTTCACTATTAGGGGATTATGTTAATTTAAATTCATAAAAAATATCGATTCGCTTGAGCAGGTTTTCTATATAACAAAGTTCGGAAGTTGTCTTAATTTTTCGTAATTATGGTAATTAAGGAAAATTAAGAGAAAAATCGAGAAAGAAAGTTTGATTTGATTCTGAAGGTATTTCGTTTTTGGACAAAGGTGGATTTAAATGTTGATCATATAATAGAAATCATCAAGTCTTTTTCCCCCACGACCATAAATTGAAAGTACAACACACATCTAATTTTGTTTCAAAATTTCGATAAATACATTACTGAAAAGAGGTATTAAAGGCGACGTTAATGAAACCGAATATTTTTACCCAATAACCGTGTCAAAATTCCTCGCTAAGTACTGCTGATTTTACATCCTGGATAAAATATACAACTCGATTTCCCACAAAATATTAATGGTAAATAATATTTTGCAACGAAAAGTGAAGAACGGGTCTAGAAAGTACCCGACTAGAAAAATCACACTATCAAGGCATTGTAATTGACTTAAACCACTCAATGTTTTATGATGGACAAATGTGGACACTTGGGTTTTAAGGTTTAGATATTCTTTCTATTTGATTATCCTAACCGTTTGTATGTAAAAATATTTTAACTTATGACCTAGTAGAACATATACACAAAATAAAGAACGGCCGTTTCCAAAGTAGAAAGTGTTGAGAAAGCCGAATAATGCCAGAAAAAATGATTTTTTTTGAGTCTCACATCAAGTGCGATCAAATGACTATTTCATATTGCACATTTTCGCCGAATGGATGGGAGGATTTCACATATGCAAACTATTATGTGAAAACATGGAACATGCTAATAAAATTAAATCGACCTCCAACAGCCCGTAATAACGCACGTGAGTGTTTTTAACATTCATGTTTGTCAATAGTCTCATTTCTATGCGGTGTTTGCAATGGATATTGTTTTTATGTAAAATGTATTAGTCCCTTAATTTTTACAGCAACCGGGTTAATAGTTAAAAAATATTATCTATACAGTCTTAAGATTGCCAAAAAATTCTAATTACAATCTGTGTTCACACCAGAAGCGACAAGACTTTCACCAAACCTGGACACTTTTTTCCTGCTAAACCAGCATTCCATTTGTGGGGGCGACATTAAAGTTAAAGTACTAGTGCAAGCCCGTCCATCAGACTAACAAACCGAAAGAGGCGGGGTAGTACATACTCAATATTTTGTCTAGAAAGCCGATCAAAAGACTGATACTGAAGTGACGCATGACCTAAGCTTTGATCATCCACCAGTTAATTTGAGTTAATTTCTGTTGGTGTTTTACGACACATCAAATAAGTTAGCCTCGCCTCAGGCTAGACTCAGTCTCAAATCGTTAGGTCCAGAGGCGGCATAATGGCGGAGAAAAATGTTGAAAATTTTTTTCAAGTGAGCCCTTATAACCCTTTAAAAGAAATGACGCCAATTTCCAATCACCCTATATGGTTAGGCAGTTATGCAGACTTATAATTAAATTTAATATTATGACCGTTATTAGTAAATATTAAAACGCTTTTAACTTTTATTATTTTACACTTACAATTTAATCGATAAGTTGGTACTATTTCGCTGCTCCCTTCCTATTTTGTCGAACAATTCTTAAATGTTAAATCGAGTCTTTCCCGAGCTTTAAATTATTCCGGCTCAGACCGTAACGGAACTTAAGAAAGCAATAAAGTAATTTTCCACTTCATAAACTAATTTACCAAAGATTAAATCGTGGTAGTAACCTCGTAAAGTGATCTAAGCCCCTCTAATTTATGGATGAAATCCAAGCGCTAACTCTTTCTTGTTAATCAGTCTTGGTCTACTAAAGGGCTTGGGATGAAAACCTAAACCTTACTTTATTATACAGTTTGCATATGATAATGCCGGGCGGCTAGTTGAGTTGTCCATCTTGTATAAATTGAGGTAATGGCCCGGGGTTTGCGAAATTCAAATTACTTAAGAAAATCCGGCTAATATGAAATTATGCGCCACAAATTTGCATTTCAGACATTATCCTAACAAGGCTAAAGGGTTATTGTTATCGGCTACGTGCGACAGGAAAGCAGAATTTGCATTTACCAAAAGGCCAACGATAATAAATTGAAATCTGCTAATTAAGAACTACCAGGATAGCGTTTAATGTATATGTAAATTCACTTAAAATTCAACAGTTCACTTAAATAAATACTTTTTTTACAAACTTCTTGTTGGATATTTTGCTTCAAAAATTTTTGTCTTTAAAAAAGACTACTATTTATCAATCTGTAATAAAAGACGTGAGAAAATTCTGTCTTTTTAAAGACAAACATTTTTGAGGCGAAATGCCCAACAAGAAATTTGCAAAAAAATGAATCTACCTCAACAATATAAAACTTATCTAAATAAATACTATTAAAAATGTTGTAAAAATAAACAGAGGCTCCCAGTTCAATTATATTTGGTTATCAATTAACATCATTCACAAGTAATGGCTTCTTGTTAAAGTATAGTATAGGACATAGTGGTTAAATGTTGATGTATAATTAAATTTAATAAAAAAATTTAAGAAATAAATATTTATTTCCAAACCCACTAAAAAATCAATTTGACAATAGTGTTGTTCAAAGATTGAAATAAGTGTTATGGGATTATCTAAGCATACAGGATGGTTTAAATTGGAATAACTTTTTAAAGCTTTACTGGGACTTACTTGGAGAGAACGTGACCCGAGTCTGGTTTGAATATGTGATCACCGGATAGTTTCTAATACTTTGTGAGAAAATGCCAACTGCTCTTATTTTTAGTGAGCTTAACAATATTGAACTCGATAATGTAAACTTTGAACAAATTGTCTCATTGATTTTTCGCAAAAAGCTCCTGTGGTTGAAGATTTAGTTTTGCTGCTAAGCAATATCATTTAGCAGGCATTATATGGCAAAACATTACCAATAAAACACTAGGACACTGTACACAACTAATATTAATGTTTTTCTAGTTTTATAATCATCATCATCAAGTTGTCAAGGAAACAAAATTGTATAATCCTAACGATTCTGTTATGGACAAGTTTTGTTATGTTCAATTATCGGTAAAATTCGGGTTTCGTAAATAGGGTAGGGTGGGGAGCGTAATTTAGTCCTAATGAAAATCATAAACTAAATATGGGAGTTGAGAGGTACAATCACAAGAGACAAATATCCGTGGAATAATAAGACATCTCAGTTTCAGCGGTGGAACAAATGACAAGGGAGTATATTAAGCGCGAAATCGGGTGCAAAGATAAACACACCAAAAATGTCTGGGGAACCGAGGTAATTCATATTCCATGTTTCAGAATATATTGCACCACATTTTGCTTCTGTCTGTAATTTTAATTAAATACTCCGGTAAATATGATTAGGCCGTCAAGGGAAAAGAGAATATTTCATTTAGAAGATTAGACCATTTAGTAACATGTGAAACTCTTATAAAGGAGAGATTGGCCTTTAATTTACATACTTTACTTAATTTGATGCATGAACATTTTGCCTATAAAATTGGTGTTTATTCCATTACGGTAATCTGTGAAAACGTGCATTGCTTGATGTTCCCTTTACGTTATTTTTGTTAAAAGTTATTCGATTTCAGGGTTTTTCACTCTAACTTTCAGATAATTTATCTTTCTCAACTTTTCATAATATGAAAAACATAATACAGACTCATAAAACAACTTGGAAATAATTACATGATGGCAACGCTAAATTACTCAAATACACTACAAAAAAACACTGTAAAAGTTCTTACAAACAGTAAAATATTTATGAAAAATGCCAAAAATGAGCTTTTTAAAAATTATCCAAGCAAACAAATGTAAAAAGTAAAATTGAATGACAAATGTTGCAAACAAAATGTGACTACATTTCATTTACAAACGTAAATTTAAATTTGTTTTGGTTAACGTAATGAACTGGTTAACGTAATGAAAATGTTTAAACCAGGAAAGCGATCATTTTGATGTGAAAACGAAGATGTGAAATAAAGCAGGCAGCTAAAACATAAATATTTTCATAATATTCACTTTCACGTCATCAACAACATGACAAACATTGTCTTTTGGTTTTTTTTTATTGTTGTGCACCATAGCATTTAAACATTAAGACAATATTACTTTAATTATTTTAAAGCAAATTCTAAACTACCCATTTATAATAGTATTTATTTGATTCAGTCCTAGTTCCAGATCAAACGTTGTAATGGAATTATAATTTTGTTAAAATCCTAAATTTGCACAAGCAAGAACATATATGCACCTGAAAATAATTACACTACAAAAATTTAATTTTAGAAATGCTTATGCAGATGCAACAAATTAAAATCCTATTATTTTACTAAAAAATGGTGGAATGGAACTTCCATACTAACAATTATTTTTAACAAAAGCTTGTGAACCAACTACTTCCTTGGATCGCTTTAGCATTCCGGTTAACATATTTTAATAATGACTTTAAAAAAAAGTGAAACATTTCGTCCTTATGAACTGATTGTAAATCTTAAAGATCGCAGATTGAATACATTTAAATCCATTTTTTGTTTCAGAAGTTGCCTCTTTGAAAGACGTCGTGCTGGATATTCAGCCCCGAATAGTCGAATTTGGAAAAGAGAGCAAGTTGCGCTGCAGCTATGACTTAGAACACAAACCGCTGTATTCTGTTAAATGGTACAGGGGCCAGTTTGAGTTTTACCGCTTCACCCCTAAGGAACTTCCAAATACGATGGTTTTTCGTATTGATGGATTGGATGTTGATGTATGTATATGTGAAATGCCACACTGATTTTAATCTAAAAATTACAATAAATATCTATTAAATGATGAAAGCAACATTTCTTATAAAGATAGGATTTTTAATTTATTGTGACGGTCCACCAAACCTCGGATCTTCTGTACCAAAAGTAGATCTTGGATTCAGCATTTCAACACTTTTTAATTAACTGTTTTCAACAGTAATTCGAACTTATTCTGGTAGATGGACTGTTTTGTACCGATTCATTGTATAAACAATCTAATACGCAAATCGTTGTTGTACCTACATTCATTATGGAGAAATTTTTTTGTGTATAGTTTACGATGGATATTTATATCTCTTTACATAACACTTTGTTATTTAAGCCCCATGTAAAGTATCCATTTCTGTGTATGCTCTATTGTCGCTCTTCTTGCTGGTCATATAACTTAATACCGGATCGGATCCAAGTAATACCGCGTCGTTCTATTAATAAGCCACATTCGAAATTGATGAAATGTATTTTTTGCAAACCGTCTTTGTTCATCAATGTTTTAGCACATCACTGTCGCAACTGAACATTTTCTTTTCAAGTTCAAAAGGTTAAAATTCTACATCAGTCTGTTCTCATGTTCATATGAAAGGTGGAATCACTATAACGTTTTTATGGACATACGTAAAATGAGCCGTTTTTTTTAGTGGTAACGTGTATCTAATTTTATATGGAGAAATTAAGGGTTTTGCATTTGAATAATTAAAAAATTATGCATATATGGTATTACACAAGTTTTGTCATTTTTAAATATTGAATTGATTTAAATTTATAATGAAATGTTCTTTAAATTGTGACTAATTTATAACTTTTGTACCTATAAAAGGAAAAGTTTTAAAGTCAACTAAAAGCAAAATCTGACATTCACAACATTTTAGCAACGGCATCTCAATTGACCCAAACCACTTTTTCTATTAAATTTTCATTGAAAACTTCAACACAAAAAATAAAAAATACAAAGTAGAAAGGAGATATTTCAACATTTATAATTCTACCAAAATTATTTTTTATACTCTTACTATTAAGGTTTTTAAACTTTTCTATTATGATCGAGTTAATGTATAATTAATTTAACAGTCATGATGTAATTGGGACTATTGGGAGGATATGCTGTGCTAATAAATTATAAATGAAATGAAAACACTGAATTATGATATCTCCAAAATTTTTCGAACGTGATGGGTCTAAAATGGTTATATCGTCAACCATTGTCCGACGGAAAATTGCAATTTTCCATTATAATAGTTATATAATATGAGATGCACAGCTTAACATTTAATAGTTTTAAACGTAATATTACGTCCCACCTTCTTGAAGTTAAGTGAACAAGTACGACACATTACTAAAGTTCTTACAGTGATTGTGTATTATCTAAAAAACCGGGAGAAACCGAAATTTTGCAGTTCACGTTTGAATTGAATAGTCTTGCAGAAAATTGCCATTTTCAAAGTAATTATATTTGTAACTTAATTGACTACGAAAATTCGTAATGATGAAAAGAATGACAATTTTAACAGATTCTTTGGAAAACGTTCATCAATAAAAAAGTTCAGAGTAAATTGTATTCATTTTTCACATTAACTAATTTTTGCAAAATGCACTTATACCACTTTGGAAGAAAACGTCTCAAATCACAAAGGTACCTGCATGAACAAAGCAAAATGTATCAAAGAAGTTTAATTCCTTTGTCATATGTATATGAGTTGTGATTAAATTCTTGGTTGCTATTAAATTATTAGCTATCACCTTACAAAATATAAAAACTGCACTAATCAGGAAGGATCCGTTTATAACAAGGAAACAGTTACGAACCTGATATCGAATACGCTCAGGTACTCCACCAATAAGAACTTCTACATCTGTATCATATCATGTCACTACAATTATTATGATTTTTGCTTATCTCTAATGAAATAACATTGGCATTTTCATGTCTCTGATTTTCGATACCACTTTTGTATTCTGCACAAGTCATTAGCAAGATGTGAAATGCACAACTCGACTTCGGTCTGGAGATTATCAATTATGAGAAATTCATTCATTGCGCTTCATGGAAAATCCGTCACCAGTTTAAAATTAAATTTACGATTTCCATTAAGTTAAAGGGCGTACCCAAATTGGCGGGGGTATTTCAATATCCTCTTCTCCTCCCTCTCATTTTCTCCTTAGGCGAAGCAGACACCCATAACCTTTATTAACTGATTTTTTGGCCATTCACGAATGTAATTATGGGGTTAGTACTCCCCATTAGATTCCATTTTGATAATTACATTTTACCCACCACCACATTTTATAATATTATTATTTTCGGGTAAATATCGAAGGCCAAATATTTCGTTTATCCCAAATATTCAACCGCAACAAAGTAAAAGGAAAGGTGAATATTTTTCATTAGTAAATTTCCGAATTGAGGCTACACTTTCGAATACTTATCATTAATTCAAAATTTTTCTCTGACTGAAAATTGATTGAGAGCAAATTTCCATAACATTGTTTCAGATACTCTATATTTAACCTTATGAGCAAAGTACCACTCAACCACAAAATCGCAAATAAAAAGAGGATTTGAGTGATATCTTGATCGAAGTTCAATTTCAGTTATGTGTACTTGTGATGTGATGTGATATAAAATATGATTCTGAATATTCAAGTTACAAATTATTTGATTTCACTCACACTAGCGCATACAATTAAAATTAGTTTATTTGTCGAACTGCATGCCATCAAAGCCTCAATTGAATCTAACACATTTTTTAGCATTTTTGGTGTTTCAAGATAGTACTTGTTAACAGTACGCTGTTGCTAATCTAGTAGGTTGGCACATAAGTTTCAACCTGGTGTTAGGTATTCAAACATTTACCACTAAATGCTCTTCAGATCGCAGTGAAACGGCAAAATCGGTTTTATATGTGAACCGTTTTCTTAATTTTAGTTCTATTTTATTGGTAATAGGGATTAGGGATCTTCCTGAATTTTGCGGCCATTGCGAGGGACATTTATGTCCTTGCAAGTTTCATAGTAAACACATCTCAACAATCATTCGCAAACATGGCAAATGAAAATAATTAGTGACATAATTTGGGCTGTTCCGAATTTTAAATGTTCAGACGACTAATAATCGTAAGCTGTCCGAAATCGAGAGAGAGGCAGGTTTCAAAACAGACCATGCCTTCACATTTATGAGATTCTCATGACGATTTGCAATTTTCGCTCTAAACCAAACCCAAGGCTGGAAGCTTCTCCATCATTTGATACAGTAAACAATATATTCACCAAAATGCTTCACATTATTCATGGTCAAAGACAAAAGTTTATCCTTGGCAATAACCGAAGTAGAAATAATAAATGGGTAAACCTTGACTAACAACCAGTTGTCATCCGTAGCTTAGGAAGGAAATTGCTAAGCTCGTTTTATTACTAGAACCTTGGTATTTGTTAAATCAAATCAAACAATCTCTTAAAAACGCAAAGACCCTAAATATCAAGACAACAATATACGAATTCAATTATCAAAGAAAACAATGGTAAATGTTCTTATACAAAATCCAAGGAAAATTAATCCGCGAACTGTAATGTTTTGCCTTTTATTTTGATTATACGTTATCGATTTGGGCTAAATTTTTAAGATTTAATTAACGCAGATCACCAAGCATTTCAGCGTGACACCACTTTTGTTGTTTCTGCAGCAATATTTTTTTTATCTGCGGGTGCGTGTATCTTGGATCTCCATATTTGCCTTTGCTTTACTAATTTCCATGAAAGAGGTAGTTACACGAAAAAATACAAAAGAGCAATTTTACAGTTAATAAGAATCAGTGACTATAATGATATTACTAATATCTATACCAACACTTGATTACTCGACAGATTATTACAATGCGTAACTAAAATGATAGCAGTAACCAAATCAAATCCAAATATGTTTTATTCTCATACAAAATTATATGATATTATTATTTTATGGACACAGCGAATGACACGTTAGAACATAGACAAAAACAATAAAAATACAAGACATTAGACATACCAGATAACTAAATAACTAAACAATACAAAACAGTCCCATATAATTAGATATTTTGAATCCATAAAAATGAATCAAAATCAATACAATCAATACCGGGAAGTTTTCGGGTGGCTGAGAAATTAAGTGTTCTAGATAAGTAATCCATTTATACTGACTTATTAGCGAATTGACTCCTATCGTAAGTAGCAACTGCTTTTGCAATAATATAAAATACTTTGCGCGATTGTTATGAACCGTATGAAATCCGAATTCAAACTCTTACTTAACAAATAAAGTTTAGACAACTTAATAAAATTCAGCCTGCGTTTGCCTACAACTATCAATTAAACGAGGTTTTCCATGCACAAGTCCTTTTTGCCACTGAATGAAAACAAAATATGCTAGAAATGCCATAGATTTTGCATTTAAATGTGCAACTTAGCTCGACAACATACCTATGGAAGTATACAGAAAGTCAACAAACAGTGTCAAACTGTTTTATAGCGCTTAATAGAACGTTGAAGCGGGCAATTTACAGCAATAATTTTGTAAAGCCAAAGAGAAAAACCGTATAACTGTTGCGAACAATCAGATGGTTCCATAAGAGGTAAAACAAAGCAAACTTATCGATGCACTAACGTCAGACCATGTGTGTTATGCTGCGAATTTGTGTGCATAAAATAATGAAACGTATTCCCGAAAACTGATTTTTATACGGCAATGCCTTTTCAATCCTGTTTTAATGAGTTGATCGATGATCACGGATCTTGACAAAAGGGCCCCTTTGATGTATCGCCTGTGCTATAAATGGCCAATAAGTCTTTGTATTTTCGACGGTTTCGTTCTCTTCCGACCTTTGCATTTCGGCTTTTCAAACTTCGAGGTACTTGAAAAGGTCAAAACCTTTCAAGTATCTACTTCTTTCTCCGCCGGTAAAGATTCAATTTTTGTTGCTGCTTTAATCAA